CGGGTAATTCCCTGGCCCTACACTCCCCACCAATAGGAACGAAGACAGGCAGGACTTCATGCGTTTGTGTTCATCATGGACGTGACCTGGACACTTGAGTGACAAGTCTCATGTCAGCTCTGGTTGTAAACCTACAATCCCTTCACCTCACAGCCAGCAGTCATGTCAGTCGTGTGTTGAGGGATTTGAGAACTATGAGGCTGCCTACCAGCCTCCCCACAGCCTGTGAGTGCCTCGCTCGCTCGTAGCCAGGCGTGGGCCCTGAAAAACACCCCTCTCTCCACAACAAAGGCTCGGCTGCCACCTTCAAAAACTCGTCTCATCCATCTCTCCAGCTCCAAGGCTTTTTAAAGAACTGCGCTCCACCAGGCTCATGCCAGCCTGTCCTGAAGGACCAAGATGCCTCCTTTCCACCCCCAACTCTGGCAGCTCTGAGGAAAACGGAGCCCATTACATTTGTAGGAAATGTAATGCGATGAGTAGGAAATAAGTTTGCACATTATAGCCACAGTAATAGCAATGTGCTTTAGGCAGCGAGGACCCTGGGAGACTAGAGAGCAGTGGGTCTCACTTGGGGGCAACCTCCCTGGCCCCTCGCCCCCAGAGGGCATTTGGAGACACTCCTGGTGTTCACTGGCGTCTAGTGACATCCTTTAGTGCACAGGACAGCCCGCTGCAAAGGGATCCTGCCCCAAATGTGGGCCGTGCATGGCTGAGAAGCTGCTCCAGAGCCTGCACTCGAAGTGCCACCTGCGGCCTCGGGAGCTGGTGAATGGTGACCGCCAGGACCCACCCACACCCACTCAATCCTAGAACTGCCTTGTAACAAGACCTCAGCTGAGCTGGGTGCACGACACAGTTCCGGAACCCTGCTTCAGAACAGCGGCCTCACACAGAGTGCATACAGGCCCCCCAGGCCCGGCCTCCTTCCTAGCCAATCAAATGAGAATATCTGAGAGAACAGCTCTGGCATGTTTAGTCTCCTCCAGGTTCTCCTTCTGCCCACAGGTCAGAGGACCACTGGGCTAAAGCCATGAAAATGGGTACAGCGTGTAGCTGTATAGTCAGTCAGAGGGGAGGAAAGACCCTGACCTGCAGGCGTGGGGCTCCAGCGAACACATCAGCAGACACCGGGGCAGTTTCCTGTGTTAGTGCAGGTGCAGTCACGGCTGAACGGCAGGGAAGGAAGGGCAGGGGCAGGATCCTGACCCCAGGCTGGGGAAGGCTGCCTCCTAAAAGGTTAAAATAGCACCTCAACCAACCCTCTCCCTAATGTGTTAGATCCATAGGCTCAGGGCAGTTGGAAGGACAATACCATCTACATGGGGCCAAGAACGACATAGAAAAGAGTAAAGAAGAAAAAGCAGAAGAATTAGAAATAGAAAAAAAAATTCTTATTTTCCTTCATGGCCAAAAATAAATGAGTTCTCTCTCTCTCTCTCTCTTTCTCTTTCTCTCCATATGCATATATATATCTATAATAATAAAAGTGTAATGTGCTAATTAGACTAGACAGCCAAACAGCAGAACGACCATCCAGACAACCTTCCAAACGACCTTCAAGACAAAGCCAGGGCTGCGAGGGCCAAGCCCTTTGCACGAATTTCATGCATCGGGCCTCTAGTACTTTATAATGACTCCTTATAAGAGTCATGGTCATCTCTACATAGTGACAATACAGCCATCAAAATTGAGAAATTGATACATAACTACAGTCTAATTTTCAGATCCCATCAGTTAACCCAATCACTGCCTTTATAGCACAGAATCAAATTCAAAATCATGCTGCCTTTAGTTGTCAGCTCACTTTGGTCTTCTTTAACACAAAACTGCTATTTCCCATTCCTAATATCAATCTTCCAGTCAGTGGAAAGGCATGAGCAAATTCTCTTAGCCTTTAAAGGACGTTTCTATCAGAGGCCAATGTGGCCCTGATGGCCAGGGGAGGGAAATGACAGCTCACTTTCCAAGAAAAATAATATGCCACCCCCCTCTGTTTTAGTATTATCTACTGTGTAGGAAGATTAAGTCCCAAATTTTTTTTTATCAATTATTAGGTTTTCTTTCCTCACCCACTACACACCTTCTTCCATTACATGGTTGGAGAAATCTCCTTAGACAGAGAGCATATGCACAGCACTGGATTTTTCACTTCCATTTTGGGGTTTCTATATTTCTAATTTGGGAAATTTTGGCCTCAGAATAAAAACCCTAATATGTCTCTCTGAGAGCCTGAGTTTATTCACTTGGCTTCAAGCCCTGAGTGTCAATGTTTCTACTATAACCTGATGTCATTATAGGAAATATTAAAGCCAAAGTGAGGTGTAGAAAAGACAGGGAGGTTGTCAGACTATTCCCCTATTATGACTCCATGTAAAGGAAGAAAGGGCCAAATTGCACTTTTGGGAGAGCAAGTGAGTGAAAGGAAGAGGAAGGTAAATTTCCTCAGGAGGCATGGCCACTCATGGCCACTTCCCAAACACCTACCTTAAGGGGGAAAGTGCATTTTAATAGTCGGTGAAAGGATTCCCATGTCTTAGAATGCAGTCAGAATGAAAAGATACTCCTGCCCTGGCACAAGGGAAGGTCCATGCTTGAATAAATCCCAGCTCATCCGTGCCATCAAGGAACTACATAGGAAGCAGGGGTACGTAAAGGAGAGTTCATAGCCTGCCTACTACTACATGATCGTTTCAGTTGTTTCTTTATCTTGTACATCATCCATGTGTAAGGAACTGCCTCTCACTCCATGACCCAGGGACAGAGAAACTTACCTGCAGGGTGGGTCGTCCTTTGCATCAGCTGGATCCAGTAACCATGCTGAGGCAGGGCTGTGCCCCAGATGGGCATTGGCTCTTCTCCATTCCAGCAGTCTGCCTCTGGACGAGCCAGCATAGCAACCTTTGGGGAGGAGCCATGAGCAAGTTGTGGTGTCATGGACTCTGTGTTAGCCTGGGTGATGATTAATACAGACAGCACTGTGGGGAGCAGCAGTCTGAGGAAAGGTGAGTGGAAGCATTAGGCAAGTTGGCAAGTTTCTCCATGGGGAATGGGCCCTCCCTGTGAAAGGCAGCATGTTCCGTAGGGTTCTAGCATTTCTAGGGTTCATGTCTAGAAATCCTGGGCTTGTTATTAAAGGTTTGAGTATAATCACATCTTGACACAGTTCCTCAGGTTCTGTAGGAAAACCCCCTATGTATAGTTAGTCAGGTGAATAATTATTAAACAACTGATTCTATTCCTAGTACATGCCCTTCCCCTATTAGCACCACAATCAAGACATAGAAGAGTTTTAGGTTCCAGTACCACATGGCCACATAGGAGGATCCTGAATTCACCTCCTACCACAGGTACATGGAATCTAGCTACATATGGAACAACTTCCTCTGAAAGAAACCCCAAAACTAGGTGAGCAAATCCTACACATTGGGCAAAAAACAAAAAACCCTTTGAAACAAGTAGAAAAGGCCCTGGCTGGTGTGGCTCAGTGGTTGAGTAAGTAGAAAAGGCCCTGGCAGGTGTGGCTCAGTGGTTGAGCAGCATCCTATGCACCCAGCGGTCAACAGTTCAATTTCCAGTCAGGGCATGTGCCTGGGTTGTGGGCTCAATCTTGGTAGGCAGCGTGCAGAAGACAGCCAATTAATCTCTCTCTTTCTCTCTCTCTCTCTCTCCCCTTCCCTTCCTCTCTCTCTAAAATCAATAAAAACACAATTTAAAAAAATAAGTAGGAGAGCTGAGACACAATTTTTAGGGGCAGAAATAGAATATTTGGGACTAGCTATAATTATAAGAAATATTAATCATGCTCTGTTAACACATTGTATGCGGGAAACGTGTTTACAAGTTTTACGTATTTATACATTCTACCAGTGTAGTAGAGCGCGGGACACGTATTAATACGTTTTTTATAGACTAGCGGTAGAATGCGGGTAACGGAT